CAACAACAACAACAACAACAACAACAACAACAACAACAACAACAACAACAACAACAACAACAACAACAACAACAACAACAACAACAACAACAACAGCAGCAGCAGCCGCCAGCCCTCTCCTGGGCCGTTTCCGCCCCGTACACCAACGTCCTCTGGCTCGCGTACACGTACCAGTACCTGATCGGCCACTTCCGCGGCGAGAAGCGCGACGTCGCCGCCTGGCGCCGCGAGACGGCCCAGCTGTGGCGGCACCTCAACCCGGACGCGAAACCCGGCACGCCCGTCTTCGGCTGCGCGGCCGACGTGGTCCGCTTCGCCGTCGAGGCCGGCTGGTTGACCGAGTCCCAGGTCATGGGCGGCGCCGCCGCCGACGGGTCGTACCTCGTCGAGAGGGAGGATAGCATCATCCTGCCTCGGGATGAGGTGGGCCAGGGAAAGGTCGAGGGTGTTCCTGGGGAGGATATCGACGCGGTGGGGCCGACGAGAGTCTGTCGGTCGCTGAGGAGTAGGAAGGTTGCCAAGTCCGGGTCATGACAGGCCTTTCGGGGGATTTTTATATCTGCATTTCTAACGAAATATGTAAAACATCAACTGTATACAATGGGAAACATGGGGCGCATTGTTTGTTACCGTTGCGGGTCTGGTACGATGCTTGCTTCTTCTGCTTTTTACATTCACCGGCATCGCGTTGATACTGGGATAGATTCAGATAGATGATTAGATGCCTGGCATAAATACCCCTGAATACCAGATTCTTTCTCACTTGTTCTCCTTCACGGTCATGCCGGACAGGGTGACCCCTATACGTCCAGAAATTGGACACACTTCTTTGCTGCTTGGTTGGTGGTAGTAATATGATATATTCATTTGCTCATACAAAAATGTATATATTCAGATTCATTAGATACAGGGTGCCATAAACAAGCAGCCCCTATGAGTAAGTACAGTGGCATGATATCGTGTTGGTCATAGTCAAGCCATAAGCAGACGTTCATACGAATCCATTGCTGACGCTAATGCCATTGGTTCTGTTGTTCCCAGCCCCCCTTGATAATCCCTCCCTCATTATATGCTGAATGCTGTAAGATGCCGTATCACTCTCCAAACTCCGCACGAGAGGGGGCGGGGAGGAAAGGTAAAAAGGTAAAATGAAAAATGAGAAAAAAAGAAGGAAAAATGAAAAATAAAAAAATAAAAAAGAGGAGAAAAGAAGACACCCAAAATCTCACCAAACCCATGTAAATCTGGACTGGGCCACCAAACTTTTCGTACGGTTCAAAAAGACCGCGGATACGAGTCCCAATCCAAGGCGCCACTCATCCGGCAAGCTGGTTTACTCTGTAAACCCGAGAGATTGTTTCCTGCAAAACAATCCATGGCATGATTCGCCAGCGCCCAGCAGAACTTCCAGTCTGTTCCAGTCGGACATGGAAAGCCGTGATAGATAATATATGCTCCCAGTCACATCACCCCCCCTCTCAGTAGCTGCGAGCTAGTCGGGGATTCATCGATAAGGCGGAGAAGCCAATGGGAAGAGTTCGTTGCAGCCGAGGCAACCCGGTTGTCTTCTCCCCTTTGACGGGGCGATTTGCCCGCATGAATGAATCCCTGGTAGTCGCGCGTTGAGAGCCAGCATAAAGGGCGTTCCGTGTCACCTCCGACTTGATCGCTCGCTTAGCTGGGAGAACAAGGGAGGATCGGGTAAATCGAAAAGAGGGCGGCATGCGAGCGAGAGCCTGATGCTGCATTGGGTGGTCGGCTGGTACCGTCTTCGATATCCTAGGGAACGGGATCACTGGAGGGGGGTATCCTAGATGCAGGTTGCATAAATTGGTGTTGCGCCCCGCGTTTTTGATCCCCACGGACGGTTTAGCTCGGGGGGTGGGCAAGGAGCTATCTGGCGCTAACCCCGCGTCGGGGCGGGGGCTTGATCACCGACAGGTCCCGATTCGCAATCTGGGTAAAAAAAAAAGAAAAGAAAAAAAAAAGGCCTGGAGCTGAGCCTGGCGAGCGTGGGGTGGTGCTACCACGGCATGCGACGAAAGTTCCCGGGAAGAGGGGGAAAAAAGGGGGGGAATAGGGGGAAATCAGGCCTTGCATCGCCCGCCCCCCTTCCCCCCCAAAAAATCAAACTGCTTGTCCCCCACCACGACTTGCCCCAATCAAGGGCTCGTAGTTCGGGGGAAAAGAGAGTCTTGCGTAAAAAAAAAGCATCTTGGCCATGCTTCCTGTGATCGCCATGATCGCCAGCCGTGGCCACACGGATCCCATGTGACACCCGGTCACGTCGACCTTCCTGTTCACCATCTCACCCGTTCACCAGCCTGGCGGCTTAGCGGCTTAGCGGCTTAGCGTCCCACCATAGGGGTGACCAGCTCGATGCTCTTGGGTCTTGCATAGCCCGTGGGTCGTCTGGTGGGCAACGGGCGGTCCATGCCACCGGCGCCAGAACTGTATGGCAGACCATGGCCCGTCGCGGTCCAGCCCGCCTCATAGGCCGAACAGGAGGTCGTGCTGCCCCCTACGCGGCCGTACGACGTGCTTGGGCTGGTCCCGCCGCTTCTGGCGAAAGGCCATAGGCTTGATTGGGCCGATAAGGAAGAAGAAGGAGGGCTCGATGCCCCTACGTTCAGTGACCTCAGCGCCGAGATGGCAGACGTGTGGTAATGACTGGTCCCGTTGTCCCGCGCGAGGGGTGGATGGAAGTAGTTCGAATCTGGTCGTGATGGGGATGCACGAGGGATGATGTCTCGATGCTCGGGGATTTCCTCCGCATACAGAGCGTGGGTCGTACTATTATGACCGTACAGTTCGTGTCTCGTTTCGCCAATCGGGGATGATGTCTGGTCGCACTTGCGGCATCTGAGAAACAAATTAGCAACCAGGCTCCCGATTAGAAGGGTGGTGAAATCGTGATTAGGGACTGCAAAAGGGAGGGGCGGGAGGCGAGCGTGTCGACAAGGAAGTCCCCGGGAGGGACACTTAGACGGACTTACGCTTCGGAGCAGTAGAGGTGCTTCTCATCATGTGGCAGGAATTGTTTCTCGCAGGTCATACTGTGAGACCATCTTGTCAGTATGCCACTCTCAGGTGATGCAGGAACGATTGGGGGGGGGACTCCGTATCAAGGGTGGGGCAAGGCCGGTGCCATTAGGAGAAGGGGGGAAAGGGGGGAAAGGGGGGGTGTTACGCCGTCGCCAGGCACACTTGAGATACTCGGCGCCTCTCAGGTGACAATGCAACTGTCCAAAAAGGGCAATGCTGCTGCATCGAGCCAGCAGCCGGGGGCACAAAAGCAAGTAAGATCGGGTAGCGGCATGGTGGTTGCGGGGTGGGGGGCTGGGTGCTAGCTTGAGGCCAAGAAAGTCGAGCAGGGTCGCATTGCCCAGTGGCCCCCTTCAAGGCGCCGTGCTGGCTGGGGAAACGGACGAGGGCTTTTGGCATAGCTTCGTAGACGAGGGGACGGGGGATTTCGAGGAGCACCAGCTGAAAAAAAGGGAGAGGACGTTTCAAACATACCAGTATTGAGGGAAGCTCTCCCGCTCGTCATACCACGACTCCTGCCAGTCCCGTTCCCTATCCTTGGGGTTCCTCCCCAGCTTCTGAACAGCTACCGGGGTGGTCCTCCTGGACAAGCTAGTAGTAGGGCGCTTGAGTCGAGTGGGATCTGTTGCTGTGACGGCCTTCCGCACATCCGTCATGGACGTGTTGGCCAGGCCATGGCCAGACTTCCTGCGGTGGTGATGCATTGGTGGCGGCGACTGTCGGACTCTGCGACAGTTGGATGATAAATGACGGCAGAAGAGTAGGCAAGCCCAATTTTGAGGGGGAGGGGAGGCCCTCTCTCCGGCCGGTTGAATGTCCTAAAGTCGATGGGAAACCCAGGAAAAGACGGGGTTTATTGAGGTACGTTGGATGGTCGTCCAGGGACCGGAAAGGTAACTAGTCTGCTAGCCGATGGTGCGGAATACTGCACAGCAAAGTGAGATAAAAGTCGAGGAGATATAGAGGGCGAGCAAAGCAGGATTCTTCCTGTCAAGCGAATTCGTACGAAGGAGAAAGAAGTGTGTGAAAAATGGGTGAGGGTAGAACAGCGAATATGAAGAGGACGGAAATTCTTTCCGGAATAACCGAGCTGTAGTCGTCCAAGGTAACTATCGCTTGCAGATGCGAGCGTTTGTGCGTCTTGGGGGGGGGGGGGGGGGTTTCCTTTCTTCGGCGTGTCGTTGAAGGAATGGGTTGGTTGGCTGCAGGATATGGTGTGTGGTTTCCCCCCAAGAGCCCAGGGAGGCAGCCTGGTCGCTGACTGGCCAATTGCGGTATGGGATGTGGATGGTGTGACGCAGTGAAAATTTTCCTTTTCGATGAACCAAAGAGCCTAGAGCTCTGATCCTCGTGGTTGGTGCAGTGGGTTGCTGACGGTTGTCGTGGCCGTGGCGCAGGTGTTGGCGACTCCTCTGGTGGGGTTGAAAGGAATAATTGGCCGAACTGATGAAGTGACAGAATGGTGGTGCTCTGCGGGCTGGAGGCCAAAGCGTGAGGGCAATGGGGATAATAGAAATACGAATGGGAGAGTGGAATGAGAAGCAAGCAAGGGGAAAGCCCGTAAAACTAGTGATCGACGTCGTGTAAGAGGATTGAGCGAAAGGGGATGGGGAAGAGATAGAGAGCCCAACACAACAACAGAGTGGTGTCACGCCGACGATCGATTGGTGAAGCTGGTCGATCGACCACCTCAGTCAGGGTGGATCGTGTAAGTGATAATAGTGCGAATATGTACACGGATGTGTTAGGCGATGAGCAGCACGGCGTGGCGGGGCTGCGTGGTCCAGAGAATTTTAGGGTGCCGTGCTGATCTGATGGACGGAGTTACGATAAGGGCGAGCCTCAACCGCAACTTAACGAAAAGCGAAGCGGGCAAGGTACGTTAATAGCTTTGCTATCAGGGTCGGTCGGGGTTTGACCGGTCGGCGCCGAAAGCGGACCCTTCCCTTCACTGGGCTGACTGGGGTCCAGGGGGTCGTGCTAGTGGGCTCTACTCCGCAGTGAGGGCCCAATCAACAGCTGTCCCTGGGGTCACCTTGGCGAATGACTGGTTAGTCGTGCCTGGATGCGTCACCGTTCCCGTGTGGATACGCTCGCTCGTATGATCTCCAAACCCTGGGGATCACGATAGGACGACGAGGGGTGGGATCAAGTATCCGTAACTTGATCTTGGGTGCCAACTGCCGAGATGCGTATTCGTGGACAGACCGAGACGTTGCCCGGTATCGTTGTAAGTTCGCTTTCGGTACGAAGGGAGCAACGTGGGGGTGTTGGGCGAACCGGATCCGGCAGATACAGGGGAGGACCGGTAAAGCAGATCGATGAAAGCCCTCAATGAACAAGGGGAGAGCGAGGGAGAGAGTTTTTTTCCTCTTTCTCTTTTCTTTGTCTTTTCCTTCTCTTTTCTTTTTGGTTGTCCAAAGCCCGTCCGTCGAGTCGACTTGGGCCACGGAATGAAAGGATATTCGGAAGCGATCTGACAAGAAACGAGGACGAAGTGAACGGTCGAAAAGGCAGCCGAGAGTCACGTTTCTCAGGCTTCCTCGTCGCAAGATGCGGCAGACCTGGGAAAGGGTTGCTAGATATACAAATATGTACATCCAGCTTTGTCAATGTGTCGAAAGGCTGTGTTTCGCTGATGTCGACGGGCTGGCACTGTGCTTCGAAGCTTCAAGGATATGGCCTATCAGACACATAGCCGTACAACGTACGTTGTACTCCGCTACTGCTTCAAGATCTGTGACCAGTCTGGAAAATCCCTGTCCTTGCAAAAGGCGGGGTGCTTGGGAAGCCTTGGGAGGGTGCAGGTGGCGGGAGGTAACACCCACCAGCAACAAGATGCCAAGGATGATATATGATGTGTGTGCGCGCGTCGACTGCGTTATGACCTTTCCGCCTGCATGGAAGTAGTATGTGCACGTAATGGGAATAGGAAGGTGGCCGTGGTCCCCGTCCGTCGGTACAGTGGCTTCACTAAGGTATGAGAGTGGGAGCGAGAGGGGAGCGAGTCGGAAATTTTGGAGGAAAAACTGGATCGTAGCGCTGGCCCTGAATGTGAAGCTGCTATCTGAAATATGTCGGGGGACGAGTGGTGCTTTAAAATGGACTGACTTGCCTCTGCTCATTGACCTATGTGTGCTTATGTTTCTGTTAGGTATTGGGTATTGCATTATTTCGCCGACCCGTACTGTGTATGTGTACGTGTAGGTACACTGAAGCTGCGCTGTCATGTACGAAGTAATTACAACGTAAAGGCTCCAGGCATCTATGCGTCTTTCATTGGACCTAGACCTTAGCAAAGGCAGGGAGGTGTCTCCGACTTCTACGGAGTAGGTGCGATGGGCCAGAGATGATGCAATCTTCCCCCATCCCCCCCAAAACAAGTACCTTACCTTACCTAATGTAACATAGGTACCTTAGGTCAGGTACATAAGGTACCAATCAGTGTATGCGTACCTCTGCTGTCTGCACGGGTTACGAAGTACCTTACTTCGTAAGGTAGGAATGTTCACTGGCCGTTCGGCTGTTCTGGAAGAAAGCTTTCATGCAGGCACCCAGGCATAAGGCATAATGGACCAAGACGGCGCAGCTTATGAAACGCAGGAAGGTCTTCGTGCAAGGGATCCGTCAGAAAAAAAGGTCAAAGTAGGAGCGGGATCTGGGTGAGGCCATTAATTAATAACGTCAGGGATTACGAATATTCACTCATGGCCCTGGTTCATACCTTGTTAGGTACCTTAATAAGAGCCCCTTTTTTTACCCCAAGATTAGCGCAGATCTAGCGTCTTGCCAGGCACCAGGAGAGGGGAGAGACAGATCAACAACTTCATTTGCTCTTCGCATCGATTAGTCGATTGGTTACGTGACCAAACATTCAGATAATTAACTCCCGATTAACCGACCGAACTTGATCCGACCGCTAAACACCGGGCAGAAGACATCACACAACAGCATCCGACCTGATGTCGTACATTGCCAGCCACGTAGGTAATTTGCACTTCTATTACCTTTCCCCCGACATCTGGCCTTCCCCCCCTTTTACTACCCTGATGGCATGCCATGCATGCTATGCAGTACTTGATCCAACAAACACCCATGCTGTCATCAAGGTGCTCGCCGTGTGCATGCAACGAAGAGTTTTGCGGTGTACGACAGGAAGACTAACCAGCAGCATCGACCCTCTTGCCCATTGTCCACTCCGATGGGCTCCGAAGTAAAGAGGAAACAAACCTTGAGGGCTATCCGTACTTACCCAACTTGCTTCGCTCCGCAGCGAACAGCGAACACTCCTCAATAAGGTAGGGGTGGGTTAGCCTAACCTCAGCCAGGACGGGAAGATGTCTCAGCTGAATTGCGTGATTGGCGGTCGGAGTGCTATACGGACGGCTAGATTTTTAGTCTTTCTTGTTTCTGTACATACCTTGAGGTATTATGTTTCTTTCTTTCGTTCTCGGCCTGGTCGACTCGACTACATGTACACGTGTAGTTCGCAAGATGCAAAGAGAATGACGAGCGCTAAAATTATAGCGACACCCACTGGAGCCGGTTTCGGCCCTCCAATTGTGCGCCCGTGTCGTCTTTGATGATGTGGCTGAAGATGAGAACGAGCGAGTTGGATATTGAGGACAATCCCGAACGCCCAACTTCTTCGTATTAACAAGTCGATCGTGTCCGAAGTGCTGCTTTAATGCTTATATATGAAGACGAAAAAGATTGGGATATATACGTAACTCCTTGATTTCAACACTTGCATCCCATCCGCTCTCACAATATAGCACCGCTATCGCTAGCACTACCAGAATAACCCCCCTAATCACTGCAGATATCACTATCGCCACCATCACTTTACCGCACCGACGAAACCACAATCAACATGCGTCCTAGTCAATCCCTCGCGTTCCTTATCACCCTGGTGATGGCAGCTATGGTTGGCGCCCTCCCCCCACCGCCGGGCAGCAATCGCATCCTTATGCAGCCTGGACAGACCCTCGAGGACCGGATGCTGAGGGCCGAGCCTGTGCTCCGCGCAAACGAACACGGCAAGGCACTCAAAAAACGGTTTGTCATAAAATCCGGAAAAATCTACGGGCCCAAGGGGATATAGACAGCAAATGCAAATCCGCATCAGTTGGTCGACTGGTTGCGGATGCTCACATGTCAGGGGGGCGGATGCTTTCAGGAGGGCAAGTTTAGGTTTAGGGCTCTTTAGGGTATCACGGCGGGCTTGGGCCCAGGTTTGCAGGGACATACACCTGTAGCAGATTACCAGTGAGTGAGCAAAAGTTTCGGGATAACCTAAAGTAGAATGCTTCGAACCTTTTGGGGAACACTTTTCTATTAGGGCAAAACCCATAGTATATTGCAAAAGTAACGAATCACCGGATCTTTAAAATATACCGAAATTATTGCTCACCCACTATAGGTATCCTGTGACGGAGCTTTACAGAACGCCACATACTGATTCTTGGGCTATGAGACCGGATTACCTGTTCCGTTTGGGCCTACAGGCTACGGGTTACGGTATTTGGTAAGGTAGTTTTCCTTTTGCGGAATGAATGCCAAAAACGATCTTCACGTGAGTTCTCTTTTCTGGTAATCGCCTTTCTTCGGCAATAATAAACTCATCTATGAACTTCCTCGCATCTTGCGTGTCCAGGGGGTCCTCGGTCGGCCGTGAGAGCGTGGGGGGGCTGTGGGGCCTGGGGGGGCTCCCTGGGAAATAACGCTGAATATCATCTCTCACCACCTACCTGTGTGGTTACAGTTCATACATCGTACATATTAAGCCGACGGGCTATGCGACGACACTTGTGGCTTCCCCCCCTGACTTCCCCACGATACGATGATTTCCTACAAGTCATCCATGCACACCGTCACCCAATGCCATACGGATTCTGCTCTGATGCAGAAGAAGTTGCCATCGTGGGGGTCCGTCGAGGGTTATCCCAATCTATTTCTGTGCGGATACCACGTAAAGCCAGCTTCATGCAGTGGCGGCGGATTGCGACTTGATCGGGTCCCCGTCTCGGAAGCCGAGTCAATGACACGATAATCAACAAGTACGCCACTACCCATCTTACTGGGTTGTCTGCTGTCTCCTTTTGAATGGGGGACACAGCCATGGCGAATTACATCCCTCGTGACTCCCGTTAAGCCGTCGATGCGCCCGCACGAGAGACGACGACCTACATAAGGTACGGAGTACGGCTTGGCGATATCTGAGGAGCGAGCGCATTCGCGATAGACGGCGGGCGCAGAATTAATGGACCCCTGGCATCTTTTTAAAGTGTACATTCCAGGCTCAAGTTCACCGGATCTAAGCAAAGCTTATCACCTTTCCGTACGGCTAGACTACTTTAGCGGTGTTAAAATAGGCAACATCCCACCTTCTTTTCGGATAACATCGGGCGTCAAGTCAAGTTGGGGCAGACGGGAGTGAGTCAACCGTCAAGTCAACCCTCGATACATCCGGCATCGCCTGAATGGAGGACACGGCGAAGATAACGCTCCGACATATTCCCCACCCTCTTTCAAGCCATACACAGCGATACACACAGATTCAACCACTTCGTCGACAATTCCCGACAAAGCCAGGAGGGCAGGTGGCCGGCGAGCCAATGCAAGACAGCAAGCCTGCCTATTTCGTAGCCTGTAGGTGGGAAGAGGAGAGGGCCGAGAGCACCCGGCATAACTGGGTCCTGCGACTTGTCAAACACATCAACGCCCCCCTTCCTTGATTTGGGCCCGGTGCTCATTTCGAGAGAGCCACATACATAGAGCACATACATACACAACACATTGTCACATACATACATACATACAACATACTCCTGACTGCCGACCGACATCAGGGTCCATTCTCGGATGCACCGGAGAAACACCTGGAACAGCCTGTGATATCATAATCCTACCCTTATAATTCCACGGCCGATTCACAGCGGACCCTACGGGCGGATACCAGATCGAGTCGACTGCAGAATATGACCCCCCGCAGAAAGCTATTCTCAAACTTGGCATGTCTAGGAAGTGATTAGCGACTCCTATCGTCTTGCACGCTGAACCTACAACCGCCGCGGATCGTTTTATCCATGCTACGTGAGCCATCGTCACTTTCAACACCCTCCGAGACTTAGAGCTATTGACTGTTGAAGAATTCCCCAAGTCTATCTTAACCTGACGCTATTTCCCATGCCAAGGCATCGTGTATCTGTAAGGGGAACTTGAGTAGGTTGAGGCGTGTACCCTGTAAGCTGCTTTCACCAAAGGTAGTCTACATTCCAGCTCTGCATGGCTTCCCGTCGTCCACGAGGGATGTCATTGTCTCATTCCCACGTGGTAGCCTCTGTCGATTGCCTCACTTCCTACCAGCACTGCAGTCCCATACTTGACGTTAACCTTGAAGACCCTCACAGATGTACGGCATACCGACGGAAAGAAGAAGTGGTACCCATTTCCCTGACAGGAAAGATTAAAACAAGCCACGTCGAGGCGCTCGTCCTTAGTGGAACACCTTCTGAGTCCACAATGCCGCTCGCGCGCGAGTCGCAGCTGTGTCTGTCAACCCAATGTTCGGTTTCTGTTGTTGAGGACTGGCAGGTCGCTATTGGTACCAGAATATGAAGAAGCTGAACTAGGATCACCAGCGCATCGACGAGAGTCTTTTCTTGATTTGCTAGGTTACTCCTCGAATGGTCAGGAGCAGCAGCTTCACGAGATAGTGCGACCGTAAGAATTGCACGACGAGTAGATGATGATGGGACCAAGCAGATGAGACGGGTGATCATGGGTATCCGTCAAAACACGCTCAATTCGTGTAAAAATGCCGGCCCAAAGCCGTTGGGTATATAGTCATCCGTCTTCTTCCCGCAGTGTACTCATCGATATCAGACGCCCCCCCAAGCTCTAATCAGTCGTCCGATGAAATTCCTCAACAATGAGAGATTTCAGGCTCTCTAGGCTGCGATGGACGCTCACCAGGCCGGCTTTGTCTACGACGAGAGCCGTAGGTAGGCGGCTCAAGAACTCGTCAGACCAAGGGTCCAACTCGACGTGGGCTTGGACGCCCCAGTAACCCGCCGCCAGGCCGATATGGAGATACTTCCGCATGGCCTCCAGCTCACGGGCATGGGCGGACAAGACGAGACCCAGTCCGCACAGATGCGAGCCCAGCTCCACGCCAGCGCCCGCGAGCCGTATGCGGAGGTTGTGCATGAACTCCAGGAGCTGGAGACCATCTTCGGCGCCCGTCGTGAGGGCCATGATGGCCTCGGCAAGTTGCTCCGTGGACGCGCTCAGCGCGACGAGCCCGGCCTCCGTTTCCATGGCCGAGACGACGAGTCGCCTCCATCGGAAGAAGTCCGGCCAGTGGACCCCCTCGCCTTGCGGACCCAGCCGTTCCTGCAGGGACGCCGCGTCCGGGTACGTCTTGGGTGCGATTTGCGATTGCCGGTGCAGCAGCCAGTCTAGGAGACGCTCTTCGTCCCTAGACGCGGTGGTAGGGATGGCGTTCTGCCGGAGGACCACCCGGAGAGCGCGCCGCGCCTGTGGATCCGCGTCGGGGCCCTGCGGGTCTGCGTTTTCGGTAGCGTGCCTCGCGGGTTCGGGTTGGGTCGGGAGCCCCAGAACGGCGGCCGTCATGATGTCTAGGTCGTTGACGCGCCACTTCCGGGAGCTCTGATCGCCCGTGACGCTGGCGAACTTGGACTGCGCCAACTTGAAGACCGGCTTGAACTCATAGGCGGCTCGCTTGAGGGCGTCACGCGTGGGGTTCGTAGCCCAATTGTCCTTGTGACGGGCCTCGTCCGATTCATCGTAGGGTCGCACATGCTTGCTTTCGTACGCGTCGAGGTCAAGCAGCAAGTTCGACGCCGCAAATGGTTTCCACGACGGAGGTGTGGGGGCCGGTTGTCGCGGTTTCCAAGGGCTGAGGGCGATGCGTCCCGAACGTGAAGTTCCGCGACGGGGCATGAGAAGGTGCTGTGAAGAGTGGAAGCTCGCGACCTGGACGTGGCCCGCCCTAGGAAGGCCTGGGGGTCGCATTGTGGAAGTAATGCAAGGTTCTAAGTCCCATGGCTCAGTTCATCACAAAGAAAAGCGGTATCGCGAAAACATTTCACAGTCTAATCAAATGTTCCATTCAATTCCGTTGACCGGGTTTGCGAAGTGAGAGCGACGACAGGGGGACGTGATAGTAGTAGGTTCTTGTGGAGGGAAATCACGTGGAGGATGACTAGGAAAGAGGTGCCAAGCCACTTTTAGTCAGCCGGTTAGAAGACGCTGACGAAAGTCTCACGTCTGCCATCTTGGTACCTCTTCCAAGAAACTAACCTCTCAAACCACGACGCCGTTCATGTCAACAACGATCTCGCAGCGCTTATCAACCGCATTTCTATGAACATCAAAATCACTTTACCATACGAATAGTTGCAGTCGAAATTTCAGAAGCACACAATGCCCCCAGCAAAGAAGCGGAAGACTCGGGCCGCCGCCAAGGCGGAGAAAGCACTGGATGCAGCCTCGACAATAGACCAACAGAAGGCCCAGGACGCCGTGACCGGTGGCGATAGCTCGGATCTCAACGACAAGGACAACGAAACGAAGAAAGAGGTCGACACAGGAGCCTCAAATACCGACGCAGATGCGCCACCAGTTGATGCAGCAGCCACTGGAGGCGAATCGTCCACATCCACCAACGACGACCCGGCAACAAAAGCACAAGACCGCCTAGCCCGCTTCAAGGCCCTCCAAGCCCGGGCAAAGAGCTCGACGGAACAAAACTTCAAAGAAGCGACGCGGGAGGCGCAGCGCGTCGCGACCGACCCCAGTCAGCTGACGGCCCTCAACCGCCGGCGGGCCATCGCCTCGCACAAGCTGCTCAAGGCGGACATTGAAGATGCCGGGGGCGACTTTGAGCGCAAGCGGGCGTGGGACTGGACGGTCGAGGAGAGCGAGAAGTGGGACAGGCGGCTCGAGAAGAAGGCGGCGCACCGCGACAACACGGCGTTCGCCGACTACCACGCCGAGGCCAACAAGATGTACAAGGCCCAGCTCAAGCACGTCACCCCGAACATGGAACGCTACGCGAAGGACAAGATGGCGGCCATCGAGCGCGCGGCGGCGTCGGGCGGGCTGGACATCGTGGAGACGGAGGACGGCGAGCTCATCGCCATCGACAAGGACGGGTCGTTCTACTCGACTGCGGATTCGACCACGTTTGCCCAGAACAAGCCGGACAGGGCGGATGTGGACCGCCTCGTGGCCGACTTGCGCAAGGCGGAGGAGGCACGTCTCAAGAAGAGGCGCGAGCGGATGGCCAAGGACGGGGACGACGGAGATGTCACGTACATCAACGACAAGAACAAGCAGTTCAACCAGAAGCTCGCACGGTTTTACAACAAATATACCACGGAGATTCGGGACAGTTTCGAGCGGGGCACCATGATTTGATGACGGGCAAAGGTCAGGACGGAGGGCATTCAGGTTTTGTTGCATGGCTGTATCCTACCAGCAGTAATGGGATATTCTTGGCTACGGCGTTTTGCGAGGTATTGCGAGGTTTTCGTGGTGGTACAGTCTACCGAATGGGGCCGTGCGAACTATAGTACAATAGATAAAGCGTCAAATGAAGAGAAAGAAAGAACCCCCTTAATTTTGCTCACAGCATGTTTTTCCTCCACGACTTCTTAGCCAGCTCCTCAATCTGGGGTACCTCAACCGGGCCCTTTACGTTTTCGTCCTCCAGAGCTTCCACGACGGCTTGGGCAACCGTCTCCACAGGCAGCGGTTTCGTGGCCGCGGCGCCCATGAAGCCGCCAAAGACGCCTCTCGTCACGGTGTTGAAGAGATTCCCTGCGCCAGCCATGGCAGCCACGGGCAAGGTAAACTTGCGGGAGGAGTCGTACATGAAGGGAGGCCGCATGAAGATGCCACGCATGCGGGGGAATTCGGAGGCGATGGTTTGTTCCGCCTCGCGCTTCGTGGTGATGTACCGGGAGGGGAGGATGGGGGCCCCGGCGGCGGCGGAGATGAAGGCGAAGGCTTTTGTGTCTTCGGCGGCGGCCTGCTTGGCGAGCATGACGGCGCTGTCGCGGTTCATGATTTCGTAGGTGAACTGGTCGGCCGGATTCGGCGGGGTCAGGACCTCCTCACCGGCCTTCTGGTCGAGTGGTCGTTTGATGCCGCGGTCCGGATCGACGGGGCCGAACGCCTTGCGGAGGCCGGTAATCGGGGATTCACGACCGGAGACGACGCCCTTGTAATCGGCCTCGAGCAAGATGCCCATGCTGTGGACAACATAGTCGGCCGTCTTGAGCAAGGGGCCATAGGTTGCCGGGCGTAGTATGTCGGCGCGCTCCCAGGACACTTTATGGGCCCATGAAGGTGGCGAGGCCGACGATGTCACTGTTTCCCATTTAGGCTGGCCGGATCGGCTGTAGAAACGGGTCAGATCCCATTCATAAGGTAGGTACAGAGCAAGGGAGACCTGAGAGCAGCTCACTCACCTAATGGACGTGACGTCCCAGCCTCTCTGGACGGCGTACTTGCATATCCTGGACCCCAAAAACCCGCTACCTCCGCATACCACTAATCTTTTGGAAGCCGACATGGTGAGACTCCTTGGTGTAAGGCGTATGCGGAATGAGTTGAACTGAACTGAAGCTCGGCGAGGAAATGAACCGAAGCCGAAGAATGGAACGAGCTTCCCCTTCAAAAGGGTTCAGAAGTTCAGCAGAAACAATTTGGAATTCGGGAAGGTAATCGGTTGGATAAGAAAGTGGTTCGATAATTTACTGGATACCTTATTGTTCGTCACGTCCACTGGCTATGCTGGGCGAATCTATGATGGGTGCTAATTATCTGTAAAGCACCTCAGTCCATGAAATCATGAAGGCAAGGTACCTAGGTAGCTACAGGTAGCTGTACAAAGTACGAAGGACGAGCTGGCAGTTAATGCGGGCGGCCGAGGCCGAGGCTGACGCGCGAGAGCTTGCTGCCCCACTTAGCGATGTACGGAGTACCCGTACGAAAGTACACTGTAGTGTACGTCGCGTCGTACACTGACATATGCAACCTGTCATTGGCCAAAGCTCCTAGTTCCACTGTTCCGTACTCCACCTGGCGGGCAAGGCTGGAAGAATACCGGATTTTGGTGTCGTTCCAACAGTTTTCCATCTTCTCCCCTAGCCTTGCCTCTCTCGTATTTACATGCCTAATTCTCACCGGTACCCCGAATTAGCGCCCGTTCTTCTCCTCCCAGCAGTCAAAAGCTGTTAAACCATGGCGCCGCCAAGTACTCTCGGGAAACGCGTCAAAGGCACGCAAATCACTCGACCTTTTATCTACGGAAGCACCGCTCGTCCCTTCGGCCCCAACAATCCCAAGCCGGACGGTATTCCCGACGACCACACCCACTCGTGGGAGGTATTCGTCAAAGGAATTGACGACACTGATATAGCCTACTGGTGCAGGCGAGTCCAGTTCAAGCTGCATGAGTCTATTCCTAACCACGTTCGGAGTATGTCTTTTGTCTCTTGCACTGCCTTCGCCCTCTTTCCACCCCGCTCTCGCCAACATTCAATCTGCCCCCTCATCATCTGCGCGTCTCTTCGTCCTACGTGTGTACAGTACCATCAACTAACCCCACCTTCTCCTTCACCCAGTGATTGAAGGCCAACCCGGGAAACCTTTCCTCGTCAAAGAGACAGGATGGGGTGAATTCGAGATTGCCATCAAGCTATACTATGCCACTGAATCCGGCGAAAAGCCCCAAACCGTCTACCACCATCTGCGCCTTCACCCCTACGGCCGAACAGAAGAGGAAAAGGAGGAGATGCGCGGCGGCACCGGCGAGGTCCGATCCTGGGTCTACGAGGAGCAAGTGTTTAACGAACCCTTCGAGTCCTTCTACCAGGTCCTCACCTCGGGTGCCCGCCCCAAAAGCCACCCCGCCGCCAAGGGCGGCAAGGGCGGCAAGGGGAAGAACAAGCCGATCCCTCCGCTCCCGTCAAAGCCCGTCAACGAAGTCTGGGAGCGCACCGCCATGCTCCCCGCGCAGAGCCGCCCCGACCTGCAGTTCAGCCACGAGTTGCAGGACCTCGAGATCCAAAAACTCAAGCAAGCCCAGGACCAGGCGCAGAGGATGTGCAAGAAGATGCTGGATGGTCTCAAGGAGAAGGAGGCCATGCTGGCCAAGCTGAAGGCCGAGAATGCGGCGGCGGCTTCGAATTCGTAGGAGGACTCGGACGCCCCCAGCACCAATACATCTCGCACGACGCCCGTGAGCGGGAATACCACCAAGCGTCGACGCCGCTGGCGTAAACACTGGTGCTAGCTCGGAGTCGGAACCTCGCTTTCTGTGAAGGGCGAGTAGGAGTTCGGCGAGAGCCGGGGGCACTTCCCTCTCAGCCGGCTCCGCTACGATCCGCGCGCCGGGCTCTCTGAGTTCAGTTCATGCCCCGCCCGCCCGCCCGCCCGGCCCGTCACCGCTCGTGCCTCCCATCGTTCGATACAGGACTGTGCGACGTAGCAGCATGGACGCAGGGGTACCAGACCTCTGGACCGGTCGGACAATCACGTGGAACATGGACCAATTGTAACCCATGATGCCACTGGAGAGACTATCAGATTCGCTGTTCGGGTCTCTTTATAGCCAACCGAAACACAAACAGGGTGCGTGCGTCTCAAGTCGACGAGCCAACTGGACGAGGAGGGACAAGCCGGAGATGAAAATCGGTGAGACGTGGAATCGGTTCATTTGACGATGAGCTCATGTCTATGCTCTATGCCTTTTTCTTTTCGGAGCTCAGGCCTCGAGACTAGACTACGTACATGTACGTGTATCAGCGGATGCGTCCGCGAATCGTCCCTGGTCGAATCATGGACGGGAAAATAACGTAGGAGGGTTGGAAGTGTACGACATAGCTGCATAGCTATTTTAACATGAGACAGCAAGTACACCATCCCGCGGAGGATGCATATCCTCCATAGACATGCTATTTGGACAGGACAAGTTCAGTTTACGAGTTGAAGATGGGAGTGTTTCTATTGACTGAGCCCAAGGCTACCTAGTGTCGAATAGCCCGGCTTAGACGACATTAGAAGCCCACGATAACCAAATAACCGGGGGGGGGGCGGGGGATGAAAGCTTTGCTCTACGCCCCCGTCGTGTCTTGGTATCCAAGGGCCTACCCTTTGTGTCCCGTCCCGTTCCGATGACCTTGTCCCTTTATGATCCAGAAATCCTCCCGCTTTCTCCGGTTGATAGTACACATTCAGCTCCCACACTTATCCATCCAGGGACGTCATCGTCTCGTGGCCCGAACAACAAAGGGTGCTTGACAAAAAGGAAAATGTTGACAAAAGAAAGGGAAGGCGGCTATGCCGAACACGTATGCACGCGGTTTTTTTCGTTTCTTCGCAGCAGATTGGACGTTGGGGTTGCATGTTTTGCGTGACATGCCACACTAAAAAGAGAGTTGGGATAGTGTCGCCTTTGAGGATAAGTCCCCCACCCTTCTTCTTCCGCTTCTAGCCCTCTGGGGTCAGCACACAAATAGAACATCCGAGGCTGCGCCTATCCGTGCTAGCCTCGTCCGATGTGCTGAAAGGGTCGGGGGGGGAAACGGGAAATGTCCAACGCTGACCCCCAGAAAAAAAAAAGGAAAAAAAGAAGAAAAAAAAATGAAAACCCAATCTGCTTTTATGATTCCCCTCCCTTATAACATGTAGTATCCCCTCTCCAGGAGAAGCCGAGTGCCAACCCCCAACGCCATGCAGACAAGGTCAAAAACAAAACATTAGAGCAAAAGATATGGGGATGAGAAGGATGACCAGCCGCACTGCTTGGTTGCTTCCCGCCAAAAAGGAAATTTACAGAGAACGATCGAAACAGCAAAACAAAAGTGTAGGACGACATGGGGAGATTTGCCATGCTACGTAGTCTCGTGAAAGCAACGGCAGTAATGATATCGGACGGGGTGTGGAGGTGATACAGTGGTATATATATATATATGTGTGTGTGTGTGTGTGTGTGTGTGTGTACAGAGCAGTAGAAAAAGTCTCCCCTGGCGGAAGAGCGCAAGTCTGTGCTCAGCGGGAAGCTTCGTAGGCAGGAGGGGGAACATCCTCTCGCTCCTCCCAGAAGCCTCCTGGCGGCTGATGCCGAGTCTTCTCGTCGTAGACTCGTCGCGCAATCTCGCCGGCCATCTTCATGATCCAGTCCGGGTCGAGACCGGGAGTGGCTGGCTGCTCTTGGACCGTCGCCGCCTTCTCCGGCGTGGACGGATGAGCCTGAGTCTGCTCCACCGACTTGCGATGGGAAGGGACGGTACTTGCGGACAATGCGTCGTGATGCCTGTCCAGCGCGATAGGTACGCTCGGCACCTCTGTGGTGGCCTGGGAGAAGGTGGACGGCACGAAGCGGACCTTGGTCGGCGTGTCCGGCGCTGCGGTCTCGGGCTGTTCGGGCACCTCCGGGATGGAAGGCTCGAACATGATGGGTTCCGACGAAGGGCCTGCCACCGAAGCCGAATCGGAGTTGGTCTCGCCGATCTCGCCGGCCTCGCTGCGGACGGAGACATCAGCCTTGGATCGCCTCAGGTTGACGACTCTCGTCTTCTTCTTGCGACCCGTGTAAGACTTGCTCCGGGTCCCGGAGCCCATGGACAGGCCGGTGGTGGCGGAGTTGAGGCTCACGAGAGAGGGCCGCGATGGGAGGTAGCCATGAGCGGCGCTTCCCGTGTCGGAGAATGTGTACGTCGTTGCCGTCGCCGTCGCCGTGCCCATGAACGAGTTGGACTTGACTAAGCTCGGGGTTGCAGTGGGTGGAGTGGAGGCGGGCGAGTCCGAAACGACGTGGCCTGTCCAGGCGCGGAAGACGACGTCTCGGATGTGGGGCGTGAAGAGCGAGAAGGTCCGGTGCGAGTCGTTGAGGGCGGCCAGACGAAGCAGGCTCTTCTGGGAGAACAGGGACTGCACCTCGGGACCACCTTCGAGTGACAGCGATGAGATGTCGTTTGGATCAATGAGGTTCCCGTGGGCGTCGACTGGATCCAGTGGCGGACTCGCCAACGGATCGACGACAGTCTCATCCACAGGGTCCTTGGGAGCCTCCTGTTCCTGTTTCGGCGCCTGGTCAGGACACCACAGCCGGAGGGAGAGACGGTGGATGATGGCTGGTAGCTCTTCCATCATGAGCGTCCTCAGCTGCGCCTCGATGGTCCGCTGCAGGTAATCGCGGACGAACTGTATGGAGTCGAAGGTCGACGAGACCTTGAGGGACTCGAGGGGATCATTGCGGAAGACAAGAGTCAGGCCTTTCTGTCTTGAGAAGACGAGGATAATGAAGGCGGAGAGCTTGATGTCCGAAAGGGTAATGGACAGGGGGATGGTGAGTCCTGACGCCGCAGCCAAAGGTTGCGGCGATGTAAAGGCTGGCTTGGAATAGAGATATGTGTTTAACGGGTTTGCCTATTTCGTTGTTGATATATCAGCATCTTGATATTGTGCACGGCGTTTGGGGTACCCCTTGTTCAAACACGACAATTCCCAGACGCGGATCCTAGTCGATTAATTTGCGAAACCATGCACTAGCACTTGGGAAAGGAGTCATAACAGGAGACGGGACGAAAAAAAGAAAAGAGGGAGATGGAATGCGGCTGGTTGAAACGGTATCTGGGAGGGGCGACGGAAAAGCCATAACAAGAATAAAAAAAGGGCCACCAACCTGAACTCGGGTTTTCAGGGTGAGGTAGGCATCGCCAGAATACGACATTTTGAAGATGCCGCGAAATCTGTCTTCGGCGAGGTCGCCAATCTCGAGTATTTCGAGTTCCGGGGGCACGGAGCCCAGGTTGAGCTCGGTGACGAGGATATCATCGACAATGATGGGCGGTTTCGGCGACTTATTAAGGGCGGTCGTCAACAGGTCGCGTGCGCGGCGATAAAAGTCTTCGTCGGCCGTCAAGGGCGACCAGTTGAAGTTGAAGGCCATGTTGAAATGGCTTTCAATCGCGGTCCACCATCGGGGAAGACAACAAAAGGTGTCGAAAGACGGTCGAGAGCGCACGGGAGAGAAGGCGTTGGACAATGGGAGCGTCGGGCGCGAAAGAGGCTTCTCCGGTTGATTTCGGTCACGGCCTCGGTCGGGAATGAACGATCGCGCGAAAGGGTTTTACGGGGTTGTCGCTTTCCGCCGATTGAGTATTATAGCCACGCACTCTCGTTGAAGAGATCCGAATCGTGTATTGACAGAGTGTGGATCGGTTTATGTGACGGTGACGGTGATGGTGATGGTGATGGTGACGGTGATGGTGGGCGGATGTCTCGTGGGTGTGGTACGAAGTAATACTATAAAAAATAAAAATAAAGAATATTTCGGGGGAAATGGGTCGGTTATTGATCTCCTCCAAAATGACGCTATGGCCGCGCTTGCTCCTGCTTGTCGGGCTTGCGGGAGCTTTGTGTGTGAGGAACGGGAGGGAGAAGGTACGAGGTACATGGATTTGTGCCAATCAGGTCTTGCAGTTTTTTTCTTGGTTTTTTTTTGGCCGTTTCTTTTCTGGCCCAGACTCCCACACCTGTGGGTGGGTGGCCTCACTGTGCAGTAGTGCCATGGATACTGTATCCACACACAGTCTTCCAATATGTATGTACGTACCTATGTACCTATGGTAACCACCTCAGTCTTTGCTCGTGTGCCCCTTTAAGCCGACCAATTTGTTTCTCACGCACCACACCATCTTGAAGTGAAGTGCACTTGGCCCGTAACCAGGCGTGAGATACAAAGTCACCCGGGACTGTCCGATGACCCGAGACATCACAAACATAGCCCCCAATTCCATTGCAACGTAAACAACAGAATCTAATGCAAAAGCAAAAGCCCACTCACGCAATATATCCGCATGAAAGACTCCGGCGCACTTTGAATGACCAATGTCATGCGGTGGCCCTCGTAGCGTCGCAAAGGATGGCTGACCAAAGTAGCCAAAATAGATAACCCGACGGAGCCATATTAACTCGTCGTGGGTCAAACAAAGGGAAGACTGATAACTGTCGAATAATTACCGTACCTTACCCAACTGTTGCGGCCCTGGTTCCCCGCATCGATGGATATTTTCACGGGGGTACTCGGGGTAAGTAAGGAGGAGGAGGAGCGACATGATCAGCCGAGAATGAAGATGAAAGCTCGTCGACGTCAGTGGAGACTGACGTGGGTTCTAGGTGTTGAGGTGGGTCGACAAGGATAATAACTATAACAACTCCCAACTTCAATATCTGAACAGAACTCGGCATCACTGGCCTCGTTACACACTGGAAACTATCTTACCTAGGTAACCTTCTAGGTAACCTTTGCCTTTCCTTGCAATTCATCTTGAAGGCTTGAAGTTCCCCTGAAACTTGGAAACAGAGCGGCCAATGAATAATGAAGAGTGTTCCTGAGTGTGTTACACCGCGCCATAATATAGAGGTGAGCTCTTGCTTGCAACCATATCCCGACCTATTTCGCAGCATTGTTTCCCCAGGAACAGCAACAGCTAATAATTTGCGACCATGATTGTTCAATATTTAGTTTCGCGGAGTTGTTTTCTCGGTTTGCACATGTCAGAAAGTGAAGTAAGTTGGAAACTACCAATGAATAGCATCGTAGCAACTGGTGGCTGATGACATAATCACAAGTGAGAAACCTACTTCGTAAACTTGTCTTTCGACTCGACTCCTCGACTTGACTCGAGACCCCGAGTGACCGTGAGAGAAGACACATCACAGACTCGGCGACGTGGATTAGTTTGGTGCTTCTCCTCTTACCTCTCTCGTTCATGAATTGGATATCATAGACCATTTTCTTGGCCAGCCTGCAGGATGTGTAGATGGTCCTTACAAGAGAACCCCCTGGTTCACTGTCGTCATTAACCGTCCCCGGATTCTTTGCCTCGACTCTTTCTCAGAATGCCTCCAATCACGTCGGTTCCTCTTTCCCACTCGCAATACCTTCTCACGTTCCCTAGCACTTTATTCAAATATCCAATTCATAGCTACCCGCATAGCTACCCAAATTCAATCCTTTTGGTCATTCAGCTGTACTCCTATCTCTTTTAGAAAGGGCCCTTATCGATATCCTCAACCCCTAGAGGAGGATAAATGCATCGAGCTTCGATGTCTACAGGGACAGCCACTTCTCTTCTCTCATATTTCCACTTTCCCTCACTTTGACGAAGCTGCCCCTACCAATACCTATCTTTACCCTACCTACCTATGGTAGTGAACGAGAATCACGTTCAAACCATGCATCCTCACCAGAAACCTCCAGGAACGCTTCGTCTCGGCGACAAGTGGCTCAAGTTTGTGGGTGAAGGCGCCGCCAACACCATATGGGCCGTTCACTTCGTCGAGGATTCCGGCGGTGACACGTTCACACGAGACCTCCGCCCGCTCTGTCGTGAGTAGTGAGCTTCTCATACTTCCTCCAAGTTCTGGGATTTTGGGGACTGGGACTGGGACTGACCTAACCGCCCAATTTGGCCGACACTTTGTAGAGGGCTACCTCCTTCGGATTCTCAAAGCCCTCTCCGACGGCTCAGACAGTCACTTCACCGCCAAGGACCAGCTGGCATTCTTCGAGAACACAGTTCTTCCCGCCTTTGGTAACCAGCGATCCCTCTTTGTCGATCAGAAGCTGGTTCACCTGCGTCAAGATGTCATTGACGAATGCAACCTCCTTCTTACACAAATGGACGAGAACCAGAAGGCCTCTACCCAGGACCAACCTCTCCCGCATCCGCACCTTCCTTCCCGCACCCGCAAGTTCGTCGGCACCCGCGTCGGCCCGGCAGGCTGGCACATGTTGACCGAGGACATGCGGCCCCGCGGGCCCCTCGAGCGTTTCGCCGAAATCAAACCCAAGTGGCTTGCGCAATCCCCGGCAGCACCGTCGACCGCCCTCCTCTGCCGGAACTGCGCCGTCGCCACACAGCGCTTCACCGAGGCCCCCGAGGGCCAGAAACCCTCCAAATCCGACCCGGCCAAGTACGGCTGTCCCCTGCGCTTAGTCGCCGGACCCGGCCCAGCCCCCGAAAACCACATAACCCACAACGGCAACGGCCTTCCCGCCCAGAACGGGAACGGGAACGGGAACCACGTCAGCAACGGCCACGCCGAGAAGAACGGAACGAACGGCAGCAAGAAGAAGGACGATGATGATTGGAAAGCCCACGCCGAGCGCATCTTCCGCGGCCAAGACCCGCGCGACAGCCATTTCCTCTTCTGGTCCATCCGCCAGCACCACCTCCTGCCCCACCTGCGGAACCTGCAGAACCGCCTCGCGGGGCCCGGTTGCGCCGACGCCTTTTGGGCCAGTTCCCGCGACGACCCGGACCCGGACCTCCTCCTGTCCATGACACTGCGCGACTGTTCCCTTTTCTTCCGCTACGAGGCTCGTCCGCACGGCGCACTCCGCATGCTGGACTTCAAGCTCGCCGATCTCGACAGGAAGGTCGCGGCCAAGGTGCCCCGGTGGCAGGACACGGAGCGCCAGCTGGTCGAGGGCGGGTGGTACGAGGGGAAGCAGAAGCAGGCCCAGGCCGGGTCGGGCGAGATGTTTCTGCCTCGATGCTACTTGAGAGAGGTACAAGAGGCTGGCTCCGAGCCGGACTTTGACGCCATACCCGTGGATATGACGAAGCTGAAGGATGTGTCGTCGTTAGGCCTACCCTAACCTATCTCGAGTAGAAACGTCAAGCTTTGGGGTCGGACAGGGAGCTAGATACCATAACATCGTAGCGTTAGACAACGTACGTCAGAACTCGTACCACCGAAATTTAATACTGCAGTTTCTGCTTCTTCATACCCGGTCCAGGCACACACAATATATCAGTCATGGATGATGGTGTGGCAGCGGGCTTTGAATGTCGCTGAGGGTCGCACTGTTCTTGTACCGGCGGTGCCTCGGATGCCACAAGACCGCATTACAAGGCACGAATGTCATACTAATCGCATCTAGCAGGGAGTCCAATGTCTGGCATTCCTTTCCTGGACATGGGCTGGCCATACAGACCCGTCAGTAGACTATGAGATAAATATGCCATGTAGAACTGATTCGTAGATCGTAGCCAGTCTTCCTTCTATGCTTCACCCTTGACGCCCAGTAAACAACGAGAATAATCCAAAAAATAAAAAAATCGAAAGAAAACCATGCTCATGCTCGCCCTCTATCTAATCATCATGTCGTTCATAGATTGATCCTGTGAGCGGAATCTCCCGGTTAAAGACACAAACCGCATACCGGCCGAGAGACAAGAAACAGAAACCACTCGGCAACCAAACCTCTCATATCTTCGCCACGGAAAAACTCAACATGCTGCCCAAGCTAAGACCAGCCACAAGGCACAGCCCCATGAATCCACCGGCCGCCTCGCGTTCTCCGTCGTCCACCCACTCGGCGCCAGCCATCATGCAGCTGGAGCCAAGCCAGCCGTTCGTCAGACCAAAGAGGAACTGCACCACAACGAGGTAGAACAGATCGCTCGGCACCGCGGCGCCGCGACCGCGGATGTTGCACAGGAGGTACATGGGCAGCCACGCCAGGCGGGCGACAGAGACGGCAAGGAGCAAGGGGGGGCGGGAGCGAAGCGAGAACGGCAGCACGGTAGCCATGCGGCCCGAGAGATCGCCCAGGTTCCAGACGAAGAAGGCGAGGGGGATGAAGGCGGCGGGCTGGAAGAGGCGAGGCACGGTGGTAGCGCCGTCGCCGTCGTCCCGCGGCATGTATCGGAGGGAGAAGATCTTGCTCGTGAAGACGGGGAAGAACATGGAGGCCGAGAAGCAGATGGCGACGGCGGCGGCGAGCCAGTGCAGCTTGCGCAGGAGCGTGAGGGGGGAGACGGCCCGGCGGCGACGTAGCTCGACGCTGTCGATGCTCCCGATGGAGGCGGCGATGGCGCGGGATTCGACGACGCGGATGTGCCGGCGGACGAGGGGAACGAAGGCCACCAGGGTGAATAGGGACACGGCAACGGCGGTGAGAAAGTAGATGAGGGCGGAAGTGGAACCGCTGCTCCCGCCGGCCTCGTCTCCCTCATCGCCCGACACTTCTTGGTCCGGGTCGTGCGAGGCGTCGGAAGCAGGTACGGCGAGAACGCTGAAGATCTGGGCCAGGGGCGGCAGCACGCCGGCGACACCCTGACCGGCCATGACGGCTTGTATGTATTCCGATCGTCCGAAGGATGCGGCGAAGGCGAAGGCGCCGTTCTGGATCAGTCCGGCGCCCCAGGAAGCGCAGGCCACCATGGTGAGGATGAAGACGAAGTATTGCTCGGCCGAGACATCGAGGAAGGCGGAGGTAGAGGTGGTGAGGAGGAGGAAGACGAAGACGTTGATGACCAGGGCCAGGTTGATGCGGAATGGATACGAGGCCTTTTCTTGGAGGTTGGTCAGGAGAAACATGGCGCCGAGGTTCGTCAACGTCGAGATGGTCAGGATGGCTGATTGGAAATTCTGAGAAATCCAGACGTTGTCCTGGAAGCGCAGTTCGAAGTATGGTGCAGCGGCGAGGAACATGTTCCTACGAAGGAAACACAGACAGAGTCCATTAGCAGATGCTCGCGGGAACCTGGGCGGGATGAGGAAGGGGCAGCAGCGTACCAAGCCCATAGCATGGCCATTCCCAAGAGAGCAAAGATGCCATATTCTACCCACGAGAACGGCACTTGATCCTTGTCGTCTTGCAGTAGGGACGAGCACTCCATTGCTGAGACATCATCGTCGCTGACGGGCTGGTAGTCCAACTGCTTCGGCTTCTTCTGAAACGTTCTCTTCAAACGCTCCATACTGTCGGTCTTATATAAGAACTCAATCCGTGTATACTTATCCGTCGTTGTCTTGTTGGGGTTTGTTTGGGGGAGGGTCGGAGGCGTAAGCTAGTCAGTCGCTCTGAAGAAAGTACGTCCAACTACCGTGGTGACATGGATGGACTGAGTGTGATGAGCGATGCGGGCAGGATGCCGGAGGTCGAAACAATGAAGCAGACTTTGGTGACACAGAGTAGCTCTAACGATACGAAAAGGGTGGGAGGACGGAGGCGAGAAGGGGGGAGGAGGAGAGTCAGAGTCGCCAGCAGCTGGGTATCATGAACAGGTGGCAGCTGATCGAGGGTGATAACGGGATGGAAGGACAAACAGTTCCGACATGAAGCCCACACTGCCGGCGTTTTCTGACTGCTATAGGCCTCTTCCTCGATTTCGCGTCTGGGAGGGTGGCTGCTCGGGTGGCTTGAGTAGGTCCACGGGTCTTCGGTCTCGGGAACCCAACGAGATGGGAGAGAGGGCGAGTTCATGCATCGTCACCTGGACCCTTGATAAGGCAGGTCATGATAGCAAAAGATAACGCCCTTTATCGCGTGACACATGTGGGCTCTTATCAGCGGGTAGGTAATTAAGGTATGTTTTTGTGCACAACCTAACTGTAACTTGCCTAGGTAGGTAAGGTAAGGTAGGTAGACCAAAGAGTCGCTTATCTAATTTCATGCACGTGCCATTGGAAGTACAATAAGTACATATACTTAGTACCTTAGTTGCTACAGTGCGCCCTGTGAACTGCCTTATACCGCAATGCGCAGGACCGACTGTAACAACTCCCGAAGTCGATTTGAGGTATCAATTAATTAATAATAAGGTAATAATAAACTGCGACCCCAACCCCAACGTCGTAATAAGTGACGAACATCCTCAGCCATGAATGCTGGTCGACTTTTTGAGGACGCCACCATTTGCAAGTCCCTAAACACATCACAAGATTTATTACATCCCTAGATGGGCTCTTATAGTGGTCACTTTTTCGGCGAGGGCCCGGCACGCCTTCCGGTGATACGGGCATGGCATTGTCTTGTTTGGGAGACTCTTGAGGGTCCGCGACTCCGTGGACCTTTACCCTGCCTTTCTACTTCATAAGCCTGCAGTAACTGCTGTAAGATGACAAATACGAATACAACCAAGGACCAATGTAAGCGGGCTTGGCGTCGAAGGATCTACATATTCGTACTTGGGTATAAACCCTCTTGTTCTGGCACCGAGCCTGTTCCAGACTTACAAGTTACGACTTACATCCCATCGGACCCATCCCTCTTTCGCTGCATGTAAGTGGTGAGCAGGGCAGCCCGACAGAATGCATTTTACGCCCACCATGAGCTCGACAATACGCCGATTAACGCTACTCTCCCTCTCCCTCCCCCTCTTCCCATTCCATCTCTCTTCCGCCGCAGCCTCTGCGTCCTGCTCCCCGGATACCTTCTCCTTTCCAGCCATCTTCGGCACCGAGCTCATCTCCATTACCGCTCAGCCCCTCCAATATCAAGAAGGCAGCAGCTCCGCATTTTTCCCTGAGGGCGGCCTCGTTCAACCCGAAGCTCTTGATTCAGTCTGCAATCTCACCCTCACATACACTCACCCAGGTCAGAACGATGCCGTCAACACGCAGGTCCTGCTCCCGGGCACTCCTACGTGGAACCACCGTCTTCTGACCGTCGGGGGCGGCGGCTACGCTGTCGGCTATCCTGACGGAGATGTCATGATTGCATTCGCTTCCCGGGGCTACACGACGGCCACCACTGACGGCGGCCACGCCATGAACCTCTTCCAAGCCCACCCTGCCGAATGGGCCCTCGTCTCTCCCGGCAACCACGACCAGGCCCAGCTCCTCAACTGGGCGTACCGCGCCCCCATCGAGGCCGCCAAATTCGGCAAGCTCGCCGCCGAGAGCTACTACGGGACGCGCCCCAAACGGACCTACTGGAGTGGCTGCTCCACCGGGGGGCGGCAGGGCATCGCCATGGCCCAGAAAGCCCCCCAAGAGTTCGACGGCATATTGGCATCCTGCCCGGCCACCAACGTCGACCGTCTCGTCCTGTCAATGTACTGGCCGCAGCAGGTCATGAAGAACAAGGACGCCTACCCCCCCGCCTGTGAGCTGGACGGCATCCAAGACGCGGCCCTGGCGGCGTGCGACGGGCTCGACGGAATAGAAGACGGCATCATCGCTCTCCCGGATCACTGCGACTTCCACCCCTCCGAAGTCGTGGGCAGGGAAGTCAACTGCGGCGACGGCACCACGCGGATCATCTCGCGCGATGCGGCCGACATTGTGGAGGCTGCGTGGCGCGGCGTCGTCGACGACGAAACCGGCGAGCTGCGCGCCGAGGGCATGCCTGTCGGGGCACGGCTCACTTCGTTTTTTTCGACGGCTCGCACTACCTGCGACGAAGAGAGCGGGGAATGCAAGGGTGATCCGATCTGGCTCGTGGATCCTTGGGTTCGGTTCTTCCTGAAGCGGGACCCGCATTTCGACATGTCGTCGCTGACGGGGTCGGACTACTTTGCGCTATTTGAAGAGACGCCGGCCGAGTTCCGAGGTCTCTTCGGCGCGAACACCCATGATGTCCCGCCCTCTTTGGGTCGCTTTAGGAAGTCTGGCGCGAAGATGATTACTTGGCACGGCGTGGACGACCAGACCATCTCGGTCAGGGAAGGGCGGGCGTTTTACGACGCCGTCGTGGCTTGGGATGCCGCTAGGGGAGTCGACACAAAGGACTACTATCGGTACTTCGAGGTGCCTGGCGCCAGCCACTGCAGCGCTCCCCTCGGAAAGCCGTTCCCCCTGCACGCTCTGGATGCTCTGGTCAAGTGGGTTGAGGAGGGCATCGTCCCGGAGTTCTTGGAAACGGTCAGATTGGGCGTCACTGAAGAGGAGTCTGGCCCGATGATGCCGGCTTGTTTGTACCCGGAGTTGCCTCTGTGGGAAGAAGGACGTGGTTTTATCTGCAAGACATACAAGGCCTCTGGAAATGAGGACAAGGCACAGAAGCGGGACGAGCTATGATTGCAGTAACCGGGGAGCTGGTTTCAGAGGCAGGACACAATTGATCCGTTGAGATAAATATCTATCTCACATTCAGGGCTCAGCTGGCCGAGGTTGACAGTCTTGTGCACAAAATCCCGGAACACCGCTCAAGCTGGCCACTCATGTCAAGGGACTCGGGTGACGTGAAAACGACGTGATATAAAAAGCTGCCTGTCGTACGGAGAAGAAGAAACAGCAATCCATCTGAAAGGAGGAAAGACTCCGGGGGAGTGGGTATCATTCTTGCTTTTGAAGTTTCCCACCACGAACTCCATGCCACAAAAGAAAAAGAAGATGAAAATGAAAGAAAGAAAAAATGAAAATGAAAAGAGAAATGAAAAGAAAGACCCCAGTCTGCCACGCCCTGTTCAGAAACTAGGCCTCGGGGAAGCGCTGCATTCTCGGCTTGGTGCATGGCCTGTCCTCTCGGACTAGATACGGCTCCAACATCTTCCAGCCCTCCTCGGGGAGGAACTCGATGGAGTTGTTGAGATAATCGATGCAAGCTCTTGATGCTATGTTCGTGTCAGTCTCGGAAGTGCCACCACCGACTTAGTCTCAGGGGGTAATGGCCATGCACATACGCATCAGGTCGCTCGCCTCCTGGAAGTCACTGTCGGCAGCGATGCGCATCCGGGTCGATTTGTAGCACTGGTACCGCTGCTGCAGCTCCAGCATCACGGCCCATAAGCTGCGGACGTCGGCGGCAGGATGGGTGGAGTAGGGCCGGATCCGATCGTGGGTCGGTGTGATAGGGCCGGTGACGTGGGGTTGTGAAGGCCCGTCGTGATGATGCATAGAGGCCGTTGCCTTCTCGGAAGAAAAGTGCTTCTCGGAGGGACTTGGGCCGCATGGTGTGATGAGGTCGTCGAATTCGCTGTCGCTGTCGGACCAGGACGGGGCCGGAGAGGCCCGAGATACCACGGGGGTGCGGGCGGTTCGTGACATGTTCAGCTGTGATAGCTCTTGCTCGATAACAATGTCTTGATTCGAGAGGGAGTAGGTGGTAAGAGGGTATCGTCTAGTGCAGCACTGATAAAAACGTGGAGCTGCCCATATATGATGAGCTAGTTGGGGCATTTCGGTGTAGAGGACCGGCGTTGGGTGGGAACGAGAGGTTCAAGTAAGGCCCAAGCAGGGAAGAGCCCGGGGGGCCGGATGGAATATATTATATACGGGCCCAGCGTGGGTGAGGGGCCGCGGGAATAAACAAACGTACGACAAATTTCGGCAGTGTGTCGATCGATCACAAAGCAATATCTCCGATGACTCGTAATGTCAGAACACAAATAAGGTACGCGGAATTATATGTGTATTCATCTAAGTGAAGTTTATGATACTTCACGGGAATGTCTAACTATACGGAAAAAGCAGGGGAAATAAGGGTGGATATATAGGACCGAGGTACTCCACACGTCTAACACTATGTGGTTTATCACACCCCGATAAGGTAGCTATAGTATCTAACACACCCCCCCAGAACTGCAGGATTAATCCTGACTATTCTGCTTAATTTAAAGCCGTAAATTTAGGGTAAAATAGTGGCCTAGATATTAATCTAACGGTTAAAGAACGGCTTATTAAAAAACGCGCTCCTTTTATGCCTAAAAACGTTAAAAACGTGTAAAAATAGGTGGTTAAATTAACCTTAAAACCACGTAAAAACGGGTGTCTAAATAATAATCTAAAGGGTACCAAAACTACGGTTAATCTAGGCTATAGATTATAAACTCGGCACCGCGCCTCTTATGAATTGCCTTAGGCCCCGTGGCTTAGGACCTCTATCCCTAATAGATATATAAACGCCCTGTGTTTCTACGGGGACAGTATCTTTATAAGGCTATCGCTGACTATATCGTGGGTAGCGATCCAATTAATTAAGACGGTCCCTTTTTAAACGGTTTATCGGATCTAAAGGGCGTGGATATCGCGATACTTTAATTTCGAGGTGACCTGCGGCCTAGGAGATTCTAGCAGCTGCTTAGTCTATTAATTATCGTAGTATACTATTAGTGGTTCCTCCTTAAAGGTTAACGTTAGGTCCTTTATTAAACGCCTCGTCGCGATATACTGCCTAGTAGTAGCAGAAAGTGCTATAAGCTCGGCCTTAGTA